GTTCAAACCCACTAGCTACTCCTCGGAAAGAAGATTGGGCAATCTACTTCTGTAGTGATACTGCCTCGGAAACCCAAGGAGGGGTCGCTATGAGATGGATATGACTCAATGGCAATGAGTTTGGTTTTTGGTCTTGAGAAACCATATGGGGTGGTTCTACTCTGTCCCCCAGGGGCACTGAGAGTCGGAATCCACTTGGTGATGAGGATTGTGTGGTCAAACCACCAGCCTTTCTGTTAGCAGGTGTGGGTGTTAACCCTTTGCACCACCAGGAACTCTCCTCCTTATCAACTCAGCCTTATTTCCCGTCCCCACCCCTACCTCTCCCACCCCCTGCTCCAATTCTTTCACCCTCCCACTGGGCCACTTTCTGTGTTGGCTGTGAACCAATAACACATTCATTTTTCCCCCTCCACCCGCCTGATGCTTTCATGTTTTTCAGCTCTATTCCACTATTCAATCTTCCTTGTTGTTGTTGTTGTTGTTATGTGCCGTCGAGTCAAACCCGACTCATAGCGACCCCTCCTTGGGTTTCCGAGGCAGTATCACTACAGAAGTAGGATTGCCACAACCTTCCTTCCGAGGAGTGGCTGGTGGGTTTGAACCGCCAGCCTTCTGGTTAGCAGTCAAGTGCTTTAGCCACTATGCTACCAGAGCTCCCTTCAATCTTCCTTGAGGCTCACTAAAGAAGCCCTGGTAGCACAGTGGTTTAGCACTCAGCTGCTAATGGAAAGGTTGGTGTTTTGAATCCACCAGCCACTCTGCAGGGGGAAAAGATGAGGCAGTCTGCTTCCGTAAAGAAGACGGCCTTGGAAACTCTATGGGGCAGTTCTCCTTTGTCCTACAGGGTTAATGAATCTGAATTGACTCACCTGCAAGTGTCTGGGTTGTTTTGGTTACTACTACACAGAGCTGCCATGAGGACTGAATGAGTTAACAGACATGGAAGACTAACAAAGTGTCGGGCTGGCGCTAAGTACGCGGAGCACATTAACAGTTATTATTAGCTCCAGCACCATCACTGGAGACCCTGGAGCCTGACACAAGGAAACGCTTTTAACGGTGACGGCACCAGCAGCAGCTCAGAGGCCTGAGGGGTTTCTGCTGACACCGTGGAACACATTTCATTATGAAATGCCGCGCTCTGCCCATGCGTAAAATTAAAACAGATGACCAATCTCCCGGTAACTGTCATGAAACATGTGCGGAATGAGCACCTTGGCTGAGGGCCCCTGGACCCTGCAGAGGCTGTAGCACGGGGCTGAAAATTCTGTACCATGCGTGACCTCGTGACAATGATGATCACACAAATCTTGTCCTGTCTCAGAGGAGACATCCTTACACCTGGATTTCTGCCCCTCTTCCCCTAACTGCACACAACAACTGCATTGTCTATTAAAAAGAAGAAGACTCAAAAGAGGGCAGGAGGCCGAAAGAGAAGGTGGCCGCCTCCCGCCACACTCAGACAGAGCCGTACCTGTCTCGGTTCTGCTGGCGAAGCCGGCCGCCTGTTTGATCGCCGCCGCTGTGAGCGCCAATCCCCGACTCCTCTTCAAGCCATGCTGCAGGACGGCTTCAAACTGGGCGCACAGGCAAGTCACCCTGCGAGAGAATCAGCGATCCATCAATGCACCTGGGAAGCAAGCGGCAGCCAGCGTCTCCTGGGAGCAGGCTCAGGTGCCAACGTCAGGGTGAAGATGGATAGGAGACGCCTACAAGGACAGGTGTTGGCTGCCGTGGAGTTGGTGCTGACTCATGGCCACCCCAGGTGTGCAGAGCAGAACTGCTCTGTGGGGTTTTCAAGGTGTGATCTTTGAGAAGGTCTCCAGGACTCCCCCCACGGACCTCTGACCTTCCTGCTGGTAGATGAGCACTTAACTGTCTACACCACCCAGGGACCACGGCAGTTCCGGCAGGGCCTTGGGTAACGGTTCCACAACCTCCCTCCGCTGATGTGTGTTTCACATAACACAGGAAGCCCCTCATTCAACCCCCAGTCATCAGAATCCTGCAGGCAGAGTAACATAACAGCTCACAGGGACAAAGGAAAAGGGACTCAGTGCCAGCCAGCAGGGGATTTAAAAAAAAAAAAGCCAATTTAAAAATAAATGGGTTTGAGGTGGGGAGGGGTTGAGTATTAATTGTATCCAACTCAGAAGCTGCAACTCCAATTCATATCACATAGTTTAAAGAATAAGATTGTATTTTCAGAGATGGAACTCACCAGCCTGCCAAATTGGAAACATTGTGTAATTTCATGGCTTGTTACATACATTGAAAAATAATACGAATTCTGCTTCTTGTTCTTGATTTTGTTGTAAAGGATTATATTGTAAAGCCAGAACCAGAGCTGATGGAATTTTCAATTAAGCTACAATCACTGTGCCTGTAATTGAATTTCTCTCTACAAAACCAAAGACGCAGGAGATACAGAGCACGCACGTTCACAAGAAAGGTCACAGCTACCTCACTGGATTCTTAACAGTCCTCGCAGGGCCCTGGGCTTGGGTGCCGTCAGGGCTGTGGACTTCAGGGGGTCTTCCCTTCACTCATTCCTCTACTGTTTGCTGAGCGTGTCCCATGTGCCAGGCACTGTTCCAGGCTCTGAGGATACAAAGGCGAGAGTGAGACAGGCAGGTCTCTGCCTCACTACACACTTGCATGGTTCTAGAAGGAGCTCTGGTAGCACTATGGTTAAAGCACTGGGCTGCTAACCAAAAGGTCGGCAGTTCAAACCCACCAGCCACCCCACAGGAAAAAAGACGAGGCAGTCTGCTCTCATAAAGATTTACAGCCTTGGGAACCCTCTGGAGGCAATTCTACCCTGTCCTACAGGATCACTATAAGTTGGAATTGACTCCATGGCACTGGTTTGGTCTTGGTTTAGAAAGCACTCTTTAGTAGCCCAACACTTAAGTGCTTGGCTGCTACACAGAAGGCTGGCAGTTCGAACCTAGCCAGCCAGACCTGCCGATCTGTTCCCATAAAGACTACAGCCCAGAAAACCTTATGCAGCAGTTCTACTCCCATCACATGGGGTCACTGTGAATCAAAAATGACTCTAGGGTACCCAACAACTAGAGAGCGATACACAAAGAATCTGGTTCAGTTGATGAGCAATTTAAGATAATAAAACAGAATGAGGTGATGTGGTTTAGACTGAGGACTGGCTTAGACTATGTGGCTTGAACAGAGGTGACCTTCCAGCTATAACCTGGATATGACAAGCAGCAGCAGGTGAGGCAGAGGGCCCCAGTGCAAAGCCCCCAAGGCCACCATCATCTGCCACAACCTTGCCCAACTTCAGGCATCTCCTGCCCCACTTCCCCACACCCACACCTGTAGTAATGATGGCCCAGTGTTTTATCACTCTGTGGGCGGTAACCGTTTTCAGTCATTGTTTCATTAGCTCCTCCCCTCAACACTCAGATACATGTGACGCAGGTGTTATTACCTCCATTTTATACCTGGACAAATGAAGCTTACATAATAAGCAGCAGCCTCGTACTTGAGCCCCACCCCTCCAAGCCGATCCAAGGCAGTTTTCACTACAAGCCACACCAGCAACTCAGCATCCTTTCTTCTAAGATATAAGTCTTCTCACTACCCAATCTTTACTCAAGCCGTCCCACTTACACAGAAATCCTCAGACAGCCTCAGCAAATTCACGGCACGTGCCTTTACTCTCCCTTCACTGCCCGTGGCAGACATCACTAATCCATCTCAGCTTCTAGGCTGACACTGCCAATGACCCAGGTCAGCATTCCACAGGAAGAAAGACTATTTGGCATCCAAACCTAACTAAAAAAATAAAAACCTGCTCTCGAGTCGATTCTGCTTCACGGTGACCCCGTATGTGTCAGAGCAGAGCTGTGTAGGGTTTTCAATGGCTGCGACCTTTTGGAACCCGAGGCACCACTGGGCAGGTCAAACCACCAACCTTTCCATTAGTAGCCAAGCACTTATCTGTCTGCACCTCCCAGACACTCCACTCAACTCCGATCTTGTCTCTCCTGTTATCTGGGAACCTAGCTCAGTGTCTGGCACACAGCACACACTCCACAAAAATGCTTTTTTGTGGGTCAGTAAATGAGTGACAATGACCCACAAGTCCCAGAACTCTCCCCTTTGTTGAAACAAGCTTCTTTGCTAGGCACCTGTCACTCATAAATATTAGATGTGCATATGGGGTTAGTCTCCCTACACATACCACAGGCATTAGAGCAAACACATGGAGGGCTTCCTGAAAGTCAGAAATCCATCAAAACTATTCAGTTCCACAGTAACCAAAACAGAGGCTTAGTTCATTTTACTAACTTGACCAAGGCTCCACCTCGGGAAGGGAAAAAAAAAA